GGGCGCGGGGCCGCGGCGCGGGCGCCCGCGCGGCGACAGCTCCCGCAGCAGCGCCAGCGAGCCCCGCCGGGACTCCATGACCAGCCCCGAGGACGACATGACCGAGCCCGGCGACGAGCCCGGCGACCGCAAAAGCCCCTGGCAGAAGCGGGAGGAGCGGCCGCTCATGGTCTTCAACGTGAAGTAAGCGGCGCCCCGTCCCCGTGCCCCTGCCGCGCCCGTCCCCTGCGCTGCCCCCGCCCCGCGGCGGCCGGKCCCTCTGCTGGGGGTGCTGCCCACGCAGGGTGCGCAGGGCCCGCGGGTGGCGGTGAGGACATGGTGGGGGAGGCCACCCGGAGCCCTCCTCCTGCCCGGCCCCATGGCCCCTGGCGCCCAACGACCCCGGCCGTGCCCAGGCTCTAGGCACTGCCCCCTTGCTGGGGGTCGAGACCAGTATCCCCTCCCCAGTAGTGGCCCGGGGACCTGCCGGGTGTCCCCAGCCCCAGGCCCTGCTGCACGGGCGCCTGCTGCCCTGTCCCCCAAGTGCCTTCCTGCCCGGGGTGCCGCAGGGCACCGGGCCGGGGCCACCCTGCGCCCACTCCCTTTGCTGTCATGTCTGCGTTGCCGTGACCCTGATGGATGTGCACGCGGGTGGACGGAGGGTGGCGTTTGGGGCCCCCATGGTGGGTGATCACTGCATGCCCCCCCATGGCCACTTGTGTCACCCACAGTGGGGCACTGAGGCCCGTCCCTGCTTCTGTCCCTGCAGGGCCGGGGGGGCTGGCACTGCCCCCCGCGCCAGCGGCGCCTCCAAGCTGGCCTAGGAGCAGGACCCGCGGGCGGCCCCCGCTCCGCTCCCGCCGCGGCCCTCGCCCTGCTCTGGATTTTAACCCCGTTTCTAAACGTTTTATACGCGGCGAGGGAAGAAGAAGGGAAGGCCGGGGCTGTGCATGCAGCCGGGCGCGGGGGGCACGCGGGCCCCCAGCCCCGCGCCCCTCCCGTTCCTGCTTGTTCGTTAGAATGGTATTAATATATAAAACCCGTCAACGCAACGTGGCCTCGCGTGCTTGCGCCGTGCCCCTCACCGTGCCCTGGCGTCCCCTCCGCGGCGGGCAGGGTGCGGGGCACTGGCATTTCCCTGGAAACGTTTTATTGGCACAGCGGCACCCACGCGAGGGGGACGGGGACGGGACGGCCCCGGGGGCCCGGCCGCCCTGGGCTCGAGGCCGTCGCAGCCCGCAGGTCCGGGTGGTCAGAGCAGCCCGTGGGCGGGGGCGGCYGCTGCCATGTCCCAGCGCAGGGGCTGGAGCTGGCGGCAGGAGCCCAGGGCGCAGAGGGAGCCGGGGGGGCAGCAGTGACGCCCGTCGGAGCAGCAGGAGCCCTGTGGAGAGCAGAACGGGTGGCAGCCGTGAGGACAGGGATGGGGAGAGCCCCCCTGCACCCCCCTGGCATCACCCACCTCTGCAAAGGGGCAGCAGCCGCAGGAGCCGCGGGGGCCGGCRCAGCGCTTCTGCCCGCGGCCGCAGGAGCGCGCGGCGCCGCAGGGCCGGGCGGCAGCGGGCATGGAGCGGGCGGCCGGCAGGGCGGGCGCGCGCGGCCGCTGCTTCTCGCAGCTCTGCGCCGCCACGTTGCACGTGTAGCCCCAGGGGCAGCAGTGCTCGTGGTCCCTGCAGCACACGGCCTGCGGGGGCAGAGAGCGCTCAGCGGCGCCCGCGGGGTATCCCCGCGGTGCCGCGCCGCCCGCTCTGCCCCCGCTCACGCTGGGCAGCTGGCAGCAGGCCCAGTCGCCGCTGCGGCTCCGGCAGCAGGTCTGCCCGTCGGCGCAGCTCGCCGTCGCGTTGCACCTCACGGCCCGGCTGCCGATGGGCACCGCGGGCACCCGGGGCCCTGCAGGCCCTGGCAGCGCTGCCGGCTGCCCCTGGGAGCAGGTGCCGTGTGCCAGGTCGCAGGAGAAGCCCGAGGGGCAGYAGTGGATGCCGTCAGAGCAGCACACAGCCTGGGGACAGGCAGGGATAAGCCGGGCAGAGGGGTGTCCCCTGCCTGTCCCCAAAGGGTCCGGTCACCTCCCTGCCTTGTGCCCTCACTCAGCCAGGCTGCACCCCAACACCCCCGGCTGGCAGGACCCCCCGGACCTGCTCCAGGGGGCAGCAGCCCCATTTKCCCGAGCTCAGCTGGCAGCACGTGTTGCCCTCGGGGCAGCTCGTCTCGTCGTTGCACTTGAYGTCCCCAACCCGCGTCAGCGCCGGCGTCTTCTCGTGCCAGGGCAGGCGGGTGCCCCCCTGCAGGCAGCTGCCGCCCTCGGGGTC